CCCCCCCCCCTCCTCCTCATCCTCTTCACCTCCTCCCCCTCTCCCTCCTCCTCCTCACCCTCTTCAACTTTTCCCTTTGATGCAATCCTCATAGTGCCCATGTTTCAGATTGCATGGACTTTCTTCTCTATATGTACATGATTTATTTATTTCCAGGAATATCAAGTAAGCCAATATTCATGCCCCGTCTCACTAACACAGTTTACACCCTCAAACACAAGCTTTCTGCCATTCTTACATAATCCATGTACAAACAATTAATGATGATCATGACCCTCTTTGGCAGGTTCTTGATGCATTGAGAACAACAATGTTTATACTGGGAATGACATTTGTCTTTGTAGGTATTTCCTTGTTAACACCTGATGATTCTGAAGGTATTTGATGAGACTTTTGATCTTTATGGATTCAAGGGAAACAAGATCTTTGCTTTCATAACAATTGGGTATTGTGGACAGTAAATTTCATTAGTTGTTCACGATATGGGTCTCTTTTCTTTCATTATTACCAGCACAGCGTGGGTGAAGGGGAGAGGAGGAAGAGGATGAGGAGGAGGAGGGAGAGGGGGGGGGGGGGGGGGGGGGGGGTGGTTGATGAGGGGGTTTTATGTAAAAAATCCCATCAGCACTGGTCGGAAGGGTTTAGGAGCAGGATGGGTTATTTGATGAGGGGGTTTTGTGTAAAAAATCCCGCCAGCTGGGCATCACGTGAGCCGTCACGTGAGAAAACTGGCCGGAAAAATCAATCCGGCCAAACTTAAAGGGTATATGGCGCCGAGTCTACAAAATATACCAATTTGTCAAAAATGGGAAAAAAATATACCAGTATGTCACCAAGTCTCTACAAAATATACCAATTTGGTCATTTTGCGGAAAAGAACAAATAAATACAATAACAGGACAGTTTGATTCCTTTTATTGACAAATTCTATCAAATGCTTTATACAAGAAATTTTTTCATGAGAATAAAGAGAAGAGGCCGGAGATAATAATTGCTGAAAGCCATTCCTAACATTTTTCATAGTGCTATATATGGACATGATAGATGGTATTAAAATTTAGTGTGCATCTTCACCAATTTCTCACTTGGTAACTACAAAACATAACTTTATGTCCTTCCATTGCCCATAATGTCATATGACAGATCATACAGTAAAAAGAACACAACAGTTCTTTCCCCGGATTTACTCTTATGAGGAACATATTTAACATACTTAGATTTAAATAAATAAAAGAACCTTCTCAGTATAACCATGCGGACTTTTCATCAAAGCTGGCTTAAAAAAATTCAAAGGAAGTATTTGTTGTACCTTGCAGTTGAAGTTTCAGGAATCTCAATGAAAAGTTCTGGGCCTTTAAAGACGTGACCCTGAGTTTCACTACACAAAAAAGACTCCTGCTTCAAGCTACTCATGTAAAGATCAAAGAGAAAACAGAATTATGTCTGGAAACATAGTCTGCAAAACGAAACTGTTATATACCAGGGAAATCTCCTGATCCACATGATGTTTAAGTGACCATTAGCGGAAGATGGTGATACCCCATTCTGTGCAAAAAGAATAACCGGTTTTCTTAAGACCATGCTCAGTGGCGGAGCCACATGCAGCTTGCCCTGGGCAGCTGCCCAGGGCAAGAAAATGAAAATTTATTTTTTATGTGGTAAAGTATCTATCTCTTCATTCTACTCATCCACACAAACTATACTGTTATGATAAAATCTAAGGATCAAGGATATAAAGATAATTTGTCTAATTATGGCTGTCTTTTAGCATAGAACTGTCACATATTTGGATGAATATGACAATGAGATGCAACTTAAAACAACTAATAGCATAGAACTGTCACATATTTGGATGAATATGACAATGAGATGCAACTTAAAACAACTAAATTTTTTTTAGTATAAACTGAAAATGTGAAGATATAAATATGACAATGAGATGCAACTTAAAACAACTAAATTTTTTTTAGTATAAACTGAAAATGTGAAGATATAAGGGTTGCTATCAAATTACAAGCCAGATTCTCGACAATGTGTTCCCCAAACGCAGCCTAACGGTGCTCAACACAATCGCCAACATCGGCCTCCTCTACTTCGTCTTGCTCGACACAATCCCTTTATTTTTGGCCCAGGGCAAAAAATAATCCTGGCTACGCCACTGACCATGCTCATGCATTAAAGTCAAGAAAAACGGAAAAGATAAATAGCCTAGATAAGAACGTAGTCATTTTGTTGTTCCTTTCAAATGAATTCATTGAAGCACCTGCACTGTTAATTTGCTTCATTAGTTGATATTGAGTAGCGCTGAAAAGTTTTCTCCTCTTAAATAACTCCTTTGGGCTCCTTGTCGTGGGTAACATATCTTCCTGTTGCGGAAAGATGGCCTCATTCCCTAAACTGTGATTCAGAAAACATTTGTCCCCTTGGCAAGCATGCTTGAGCTGACATATGCCAGTTTCCAGCTGGGTGTTACACTTGGGTTTGGCTCATTCCTAGAACCATTATTCAAATAAAGACATCAGTTAGACCTAGTGATATAGAATGAGTAAACTATTCCTCCAAACTTGGAATCATTTTAAAGGTTAAAAAAAAGTGGGGAAATGTGTTTCTACCGTTCCAGTGTACTCCAATCTACAAACTTAACAGGAACAAAGTTACACCTATCAACCTAAAACAAGAAGCTATTTAACAGAGGTGGGCAGCAAGTGTCCGGAAGCTTATCCAGTGTATAAGGATCCTCCACAAACAGGAAACCCTGCAAATAATGCATATCCTTGATACTGTTCTTAAAGCATCAGAGGCACACTCTGTGATGTCAGGGAATTATAGCCAAGGAACCAGGTTGGATGAATCAACCCTGTACAAGTTGAAGTATAATAGTAGCCCATAAATAAGTAGATAAACTAAACTAAACATAATGTGAAGAAAATAGAGCTCACCGCATGATAGTATCCTCTCCTGCTCTCTACAGGTGAATGTCTCAGGCCCTTCTGTACCTCCTTGCTCTTTTCAGGGTATTTGATGCTCCGCATCAGTTAAGCCAGTATATATTAGAACACAGACAAAGATTGTTAATTTGACTCTTAAGAGCATACATAACCAATATCAACCTTCTCCCTGGGTTTGCTCTCACTATTGGAAGAGGTTGTCCATCAGGACCCTTTTGACAACATTCTCACAAAGATTTCATTACCGCACTTTTGATTTCAGCCTTCTTGCCAAAGATTGTTAATATAACAGACTTTTCAGCACTTGCAGCAGGCTCCTTCTGCATGAAGATGATGAAGCCAAAAAACTAGACTGTGATTGGTTACCTGTTTTAATGATGATCACTATGGCTTCTTCCACAGGTCCAAACTTAGTGTAGAACTCCTTAAGATGGTCTAAATGAGAAAATGCCAGGAAAATGTCAAGTAAGAAAATTGTAACAAACTCTTTATGTCGGGTGAAATAGAGAAGAGACAAAGAAACATTCTAATTTAATTACTAAAATACCTGAGTCAACAGAGAGTTGGAGGCCCCCTATGAAAACCTACCGATCCATGACCGCCATCTGTAGCAAATGATAGCAAATTTTTGTGTGCAATGACGGAAACTTCAATCAAATTTAGATTGACAGTGTGGATAAGGAATTACTTACCTTGGTTATGGTTTCGCAAGGAGACACTGCCCTGAGTTCAAGCAAGCCAGGTCTCGGCTCACCCTCTCTGTGGATGCCTTCTGAACTTGTCAAATCTATCGGCCTTCGTCTCCTGAGGAAGAAAACATAATGGGTAAGGCAAGATAATGTGCAAGAATAAATAAAAACCGCTCACATGGCACCAATTATTTATAGCTTGGAAATCAGCTCCAGATTGCAATACAGGGAGTTTCATGTTTTCCAGAAGCAATATCAACACATTCTGGAGCTTGAAGCAACAATATGTTAAATTCATGAAGACATGTTTCATGTAAGGTGTGAGTGGAGACAAGTTTCTATTGCCCAAAGAGCATAGGAAAGTAAATATATAGTTGGAGGCAGAGGCGGATCTACTAACATTCTAGGGTTGCACCCCTAAACATTTATGAATTTGCGTATAGAGTCATCCAAAATTTACGTCTGCCGCCGATAAATTTCAAAAATTGCACCCAAAGACCCAAGGTATCTAAAAACACCAAAGAAATTAGTAACAATTTGAATTAACCCATTGGAAAGTAAAAACCCATTTCAACTTTCAACAATAAAGTGTACTGAGTGCATTCGCATTAGATACTATGGTTTTTTTTTGGGGAGAAAATAGATATTATAGTTTTATAATGTTATATTCTTATCAAGAGGGAAAATGTCAGTTTGGTCAGTAATGACAATTTTCTATAGTGATCCTGATCCTACATCTTGAATCACACAGCATATCAAGTAAAATAATGATATGACAACAATTACATGTCCACTTACATTTCTATATTTCCTAAATTCCCAGCTTAACACAAATATTTTTATTATAACTTGCACTCAGCATTCAGTTATAGCAAAAGCAAAGGCCAATTTTAAGGAAAAATAATTTACAGGTATTTCAACAGTCCCAATATAACTGACGGCAAAATAAATAAATAGTTGATATCGAAAATCCAATCTCAGTTGACAGGGATTTCTACACTCCCAATGAGAAACCGGTTTTAGTTTCTGTGAGTATATCGTAACATTTTTTTCCCTTGTGTATTTAGGTTTGTTAGTCAAGAATAGGAGGAAGAGATTTCGGCTCTTCCTGTGCCTTTGTTGACAAAGGCATGATGACTTTTTTGATAATAAAAAATGTGAGGAAGAAAAAAATTGATGATTCCGACAGATGCAAATTTTTTTTCTTTGAGGTCAGGCATGATTGGTGGCGTAATTAGTGGGAATGAAGCCTATAAAATCCACTGCACCTCTCCTCTCTGAAATCATCCTGAATCAGTTTCTTAGAGTAGCTCTAAGAGAGATTATTGTAAGTGATTAAGAGAGTGATAAGGATTTGGTATTTGGGTAATTTTGTGTGAGAGATTGAGAGTAGAGGAAAAATCAAGAGTGATTTGTTTGTGAGATTATTGAGTGATTGTAATCTCTGTAGAGGAAAAATCAAGAGTGATTTGTTTGTGAGATTATTGAGTGATTGTAATCTCTATTTGTACTCTCTCTCTCTATTAGTGAGATCTATCCCCTCCTTGCCCCGTGGACGTAGGCATATTGCCGAACCACGTAAATTTGGTGTCTTGCCTGCTGTGGTACTTGTTTTTTATCTCGTTTGTGATTTTTCGGTTCCGCTGCACACAACAAGGTTTTCCTCCTTAAAGTTAATAAAATATAAGCATCAAACATAGCTCCAAATCTTTGGAGCAATATAAATATGACAAGCACATCCATACCTGAAGTTAAAACAATAACAACATACAAGGCTCGGGATCTATAGAAATACCTGTTGAGGAGATTGGACGAAAGTCGTTCCTTCAAATTATGTGGTTGTGCCAACTGCAGGAGCAGGGTAACTAACAGGTTTCTCCTCGGGTTGGGATGGTACAAGTGCACTAACTGTAGATGTAACATCCACCTAGTCAATATAATATGACAGAATTCATGTTTAACATAGCATGATATCCAACTGAAAGGCACTATATTATGAAAATGCAACCTAGGTTTATTTATTTAAGCTAGATTGACTATATCTGACCAAATTGAAAGAGGAGGACAGAGCCAGACCCAGAAAAGGATCAATCTGGAAGTACCTGAAATAAAAAAAAATAAGATAACAATGCACAGTACGAGGAACCAAAATAATTCCTTCAAGTATCGGAATCAATATATTCGTTAATTGTATTGCCCACCGCAGATGACCTGGACGGTTGGGAGGTTTCAATATGACTCCCACGATCCTGGGGTCGATTTCAAGCTGGGTTATAAATAAAAGGTTTTAAAAAAAGAAAAAGTTAACTGTATACAGTAGGAAAAATCTTACAAAAAGCAATCAGCTAGAAAAAAAACAACCCTAGTTGACAAAGATTACAACACGATTTACTGCTAAGAATAAAATGCTCACCGAGCCAATAGAATAAATGTTACAAAAAGGTCTGGATAAGGTCCACTCAGAAATGAATGCAGAACCTAGCACCATATCTCCTCATCCAATATAAATGCTTGGATTTATCTGGACAAAACTAAGTCCTGGTAGCTCTGTAATGAAACTGATAATCAGTTTTTGTGCTTTTGAATGCCCACATATTTGTCAGAAACCTAGTGATTGGTAGGGAAGCCAAGCATAGTAAACATCTTAAATATTTGAACCGCCATTTTGCAAGATGTATGAGTTGTCTAACAGGTAATAAGTTCTTACGGGTGGATAAAAACAATTCCAATGCTAGAGGCTTACAGACAAGTGATGACATTAATCATTCTTTAATAGGTGTATCGCTGCTTTTGCTGCCAATCCAAACATGCAATGACTCGCTAATTCCTTTATAATCTTTAGTAGCTTAGTTAACCTACATAACAAAATAGACTAAAGTCATACGACAACAAGCTGAAGATGGATGTTCTTTCCAACCCAACTGAAAATCATTATTCAAGTAGGTTTCATTGTAACCGTCCCCTTTCCAGCAGAATATACCAACGCAGCCGAAGAAGCACTCTGAACAGAAAACTAATCTGATTATTTTCTTATAGAACTTTCCCGTTTCAAGCCTCTATCAAACATAATTATGAATAATACATTATATGAGTCTGTTTCAATCTTCTCCTGTAACCAATAAACAGAATAAATGCCAAATTCTGAATGAAAATCTAAAGAAGAAAGAAGAGAAATAGGAGTTCTTGCCAACCAAATTAAGCCTAGCTCCGAAGTCCGATCTCAAACATCCGAATTTGAATAGGCTGGAAGCGTGATCGCCGTTGCCTCCCAAATCTGAAAGCATAATCAAAGCAAATTTTATCTCTGATCTTCTCCTGGTAGAATATCGGAATTTAGATAATCTATTGAAAAACATATTGAAAGGAGAAATAAAATAAAAAAAACCCTAATTTTATATGCTTTATATACGTAAACATGACCCTGATCGTTCGCCCCAAAATCTTTGAAGCATAATAAAGCAACATTTTAGCTCTGATCTCCTGATAAAACATCGATAGTTTAGATAGTCGATTGAGAAGAAAAAATTGAAATGAAACCCTAATTCTAGGCCTTCTATGCATTAAAGTTACCTGACTTTGACCTCCAAATCTCGGCATTTTTCCGAATCTTGAACCCTAACCCTAGATGCCTCATCCTCAATCGAAAGCGAGAGACGTTGTCGATCATGATAGAAGAGGAAGCGGGAGAATTGCATCTCGTATTTATAAAATGATCATAGTTCTAGCTTGGGAGTGACGCGACGCGGAGACACGATAACGCGTTCAAATATTTTAAGAATATTCTGGGCCGTGCCCAGTTAGCGTATAATAGACGCATTAAACCAAATTTGGAACAGGGGGGTGCTCTAGTGGGCCCAAAAAAGAAAGCGCCTATAGATATTATGGGCCGCAGTTAGCCCACATTAGACATATTAGAAAGAACTAAGTAGGTACTTAACCAAGTTTTGCTGGGCCGACGAGCGCTTTCTATAATCGGGCTCGATTGGACTTGAAGTCGGTGTTTAGCCTTTCTGTATTTTCCTAATACCTCAGGCCTAGTGTCCCACATTTACCGTTCTGGTTGGATGAAAATAGAGTTGGAAAAGTAAATAGCAATCAGATTTAGGGGCTGTTTGGTTGTTGTTGGTAAAGTTGTGTATTTATGATACAATTTGAAAAGTTATTGTCCACCTCATCAATTTTACTTTTATATTTTGCTTTGTTTGTTTTTTATTCCATTTGAATCATAAATTGCTTGTTTGGTTTGCAAATGTAACTTTAATTGTTTGTTTAGAAAGTGTAAAAAGTGGTCTGTATGCTGTCTAAAAATCACAATAGATAGTTGATCACCCATCAAACACCGATGATGGAAGTTACAATCTGACGACTTCCAGAAGGCTACAATTTGAGGACTTTCACGTAGAAGGCTACAATCTGACGATCTTCACGACAACTGATGAAAGCTCTAATTCAACAGCATTCACAATCAACATCGGGAGTTACAATCTGACGACTCTCATATTTTCAAGGAGCCAAGACGAAGATTACAAGAGGACGATCTGTGCAAAGCTCTAGCAAAAGAGACTACAAATTGACGGTCTCTTCATATTAGAATGCAAATATCTCTCAACTACAAATTGACGGTCTCTTCATATTAGAATGCAAATATCTCTCAAACCGTAAGGAATTTGGCGAAACGAAGGAAGCGAACCGAAGCCTTCGGCTAGATTCGGATGGCCCCGTCTCGTCGAGATAGCCGATTTTTATATATAATTCGTCCAATTCCGACTTACGGTTTGAAAGTTATGACATGTTCATCGCAGCAAGTTATGTTCTGAAGTCCGTCTGCAAGACCGGACTTCGTCAGAACATCGGACTTAACCTGAAGCTCGCCAAGCCCGCCTAAGGCTCACCTCTGCATCCAAGATTCAAAACACAGAGGTCGTTCCCGTGTTCTAAACTCAAAACACAGAGGTCGTGGCTGCGTTCCAGATTCAAAACGCAGAGGCCGTAGCTGCGTTCCAAACTCAAAACGCAGAGTTCATGCAGAACCCAACTTTGCGTTCCAGGTCCAAAACACAGAGTTCATGCAGAACCCAACTCTGCGTTCCAGGTCCAAAACGCAGAGTTCACCTCTGCTTCTCAGATGCCAAAACGCAGAGTTCATCTCTGCGTCTCAGATATCAAAACGCAGAATTCATCTCTGCGTCCCAACTGTGCCTCTCCAATTTACAGAACGCGTGCGGCCTGTGCGTTTCCATTCTCTAGCAGAGATTTAACTCTGCGTCTCATCTCTAAGACGCAAAGTTAAGGTCCAGAACGCCAATTTAGGCGTTTGACTTGTTCAAACACAAGTTGAACGGCCTCAAAACCGTTTATCCCATGTTCTGAGGGATTTTCGCCCCATTTAGGAGCGGATTAAGGGGGTAGTTACCACCCTTAATCACCTATAAATAGTGGGAAACTCAACTGAGTTCAGATCCTTCTTTTGGGGCTTCTTTTTGGGGGAGAAAAGAAGAGATCTTCGGCTAGCTTTGGAGGGGATTTTCTCTCATCAACAAAGGGAAATTCGGTCAAGGGCTGGTATTTTCGGATTTGGGACTTGGCAGCAAAGGGAGAGATCGGCATTCATCCTTTGGAGCATTCCTTGATGCCTTCGGCCTTGGCTTGAGAACCGATTCTTGGTTCGAATCAACTCTTTTTCAAGAGTTTCAAACTCGATCAGAGTTATCAACTCATCAAGAGTTTTAAACTTGCTAAATCAACTCTTTTTCAAGAGTTTCAAACTCGATCAGAGTTATCAACTCATCAAGAGTTTTAAACTTGCTTTGCAAGTTCTCCACAGCGTCAAATCGTGAGGAGAAGACTACGTTCCAGTGAATCAAGATGGTCGGATCGTCAACGGAGAGCAAGTTCGACACAATCAATCGAAGGAGGCACTCCATCGCCACCTTGAAGAACCCAGTTTTAAACAAAGGGGAGAGTCAAATTCATTCTCCTCTCTTTTATAATCGGAATCCAAATTATAATTGATTTTAAGAGGAATACAAGTCAATTTTTCTTTCACTGTCTTTTTACTGCAAATTTCCAACAAACATGGTCCCTACTCAAATGATCATATTGATTAGAATTATTTTTTATTATTTTTTCCTAACTTCAATATCAGCTTTCTCCTAAAAACATGTTTTTTTTTTATGAAATCACTTTACAAGCCACATTACAAGCCACATTAGCATATGAAATCACTTTACACTATTTTCACAATTATAAACAAACAATTGAAAGTGATGAAAGCTAACATTGGGACCCACTTTTGTATACTTTCTATCCTTTTACATGAGAAAAACATACAACCAAACAGCTCCTTATAATTACATTGTTTAATTTGTAATTTTATAATTCAAAAAGGTAAATAAATTTATATTTTATAGAAAAAAACTTATAACAAATACTACAGTCAATTTGGTGGGAGGAAAAGCTGCAAGCTTTAGAAAAAGATATTGAAAAATAAAAATATTTTTACCTCATCAAAGTAAACATTTTTAAATCCAAACAAAAAATTATCCCCTCCCAAGTTTGCTTATATGGCAAAATTATGTAGCTTTATGCACTAATTGCTTTTCAACAAACAATGAATTTGCATTAGAAATATATTGTCTATAATATAATTGCAGATATCCAAATAATAAATTTAAAGATGATTTTGTGCAACAAATACTTCATGCAACATTTGCTTCAATTTAAGTTTGTAGCAAACAAGAGAATTGACGAAAAATAAGTATGTCCGTGTGTAATGCACGTGTAACCATACTGCTTATTGAAGTTTGAATCCTAGACCCCTCACAATAGCCAAACCTCGGATACTGAGTCTCATCTTTAGGGGCTGTTTGGTTCTTTTTTTGGGTGGTAAAAGTGAGGAAAGATGCCAAAAATGTCAGTTTTTTGGCAGCTTTCCCCAAAATCACCCTTTAAAAAGGTGATTTTGGGGGAAAGCTGCCAAAAAGCTGACATTTTTGGCAGCTTTCTCCTCTTTTACCACCCAAAAAAACCTATCCAAACAGCCCCTTAATCGCGAGCCACCTGTTGGTCGTTAAAATCTTTACATTGTTCGTTTATAAATTCAAACTAACTCTGCAAATTTATATATTATCAAAGAATAAAGCGGTAAACTAATTTAAAAAAAAAGGAATACAGCCATAAACTAGCAAATAGTCAGATGTAAAGAGTAAATTTACAAATAAGGCCAATGTTTGGAGTATATACGAAAAGAACCGCAAGAATGTAGGCCAGTCTCAAACAATCCACGAAATGCCAAACTCAACCCAATATTTTCCCGCGTCCTGCCCTTAGTATTTGCCACCAATTCAACTTCTCCAAGGCCCAGGTGATATACGCCATCACAGCTTATTTAAATTAGTTAAATTTTGTTGTAAACGATCACTCTCTGTACTAATTGATGGATAAATTTTCTCAAAAATAATTGCTGAGCCAAAACTATCTCCCATTTTATCTCTTTTCGTTGCAATTTGCTCACAAAGGGTACAAATTTAATCGACATGGCGAGGCTTCTATTCGCTAGACGCATTCTTTCTCCTATTTCCACATACCCATCAACAATTTCCAAACACTGTAGCTCATTTTCAGACCCATTGAAGCCCGTTGAAAGAGAAAATGAGCGATGCACACCAACTGTTTGTAGAAATTCCACAAGCAATCCTCATAGAATTAATCTGCCAACATTGATTCCAAGCAGTAGCAATTACTTACAAGGTTTTAGCATTGAGCTTGTCGATCCCGATATTTGGCCCCAAACATTGGAAGAGCCAAAGTCTTTCAATGCAAATGAAGTGTTCGATGAAATGCCCACTAGCAATTTAGAAGCGCAGGATTTTTCTGATTTTGATGAGATTGAAGATATGAGGTTACGGAAAAAGCTATTCTACAAATTGGACAGAGATTCTAAAGAATTCGAGGAGTACACCATAAATTTCCACCGGAAGAAAACACTAAAGAAGAATCGCGAAAAGACCACAAAGGATGAGGTAAAGAAAGAGTGCAAAGAAATCAACAAACCAAAGAAGGATAAAGCTTCACACCCATTAGAGAACTTAAAACCCGACAAGGAAAAGAGAGTGAGAACAATGACATTTAATCAACTAACGGGTCCTTATCATTTGCCTTTTTGCCTCGATATCTTCATAACAAAAGGGTCAGTGAGGGCTTCTATAATTCATCGAGTGACTAGTAAAGTCGTTGCTGTGGCACATTCTATTTCGAAGGATTTGAAGTTTGATTTGGGGTCGAGAAAAGATGCTAAGGCTTGTGCTACTGTTGGAGGAATTTTGGCTCAGCGAGCGATAGAGGATGATATTCATAATGTGGTGTATACACCAAGGAAAGGAGATAAGATTGAGGGGAAGCTTGAGATTGTGCTCCAGGCTATTATTGATAGCGGGATTGATGTGAAGGTGAAGCTCAAGCAGAAGAGAAACTTGAAGGTATAGACCTTTGATTTACTTATTGTTATTGCACATTTATTTGATGCTATTACAGTCTGATATTGATTAAGGTCTATCTGCACTTCTATCTTTCTACACTGTGGCATTTGTACATGGCCTTCAAATTTGTTTCGTTCCTCCAATTATTCGGCAGCTAACATGTATTTATTTGTTTACGTAGTTGTCTGTGTTTTGGGGGGTTCAGTTAGAGAACTTGTTACCTTAGTATGGTTGACTCTTGGAATTACTAGATTTGGTGGTGTAAATTTGGGTATGAAGATTCAGAAGCCTAATATAAATATTAGGAAAGAATTTAGGTACTAGTATGACAAAAGAAAAAAAACAACTTGAAAGGTTGTTTGGCAACTAGGAAGTAAGGGGATGTTTGTTTCACACAAAAACTGCAGAAAGAGCCCCCAAAAAACTTACACAAGAAAATTTTGGCATTTTCTTTCACAATCATATGTTTAGTTTGCAAAAAATAAAAAGGAAAGTGAAGGAAAGTCCGGGCGCCACTTCGGATTTTTCTCTCGAAAATTTTCCACTCTTTTGAGCCCGATTACAGGTGAAAACACCCATTTTTCTCTCTCCGTACGAAAACAGCCAATTCTAGGGGTCAACCTCCTTTTTTTTCTCGCCGCCATCTCGTTCTGGTCACCCCTCTCTCCCTTTCATTCTTCTTCCTCCTTCCCCTTCCCTCCCGCCTTGCAAAGCCGAGGAGTGGAGGAGAAATTGGAGAAGAAGGAAGAGGCCCAGGAGTCTAATTTGGGTCTAAAGGAAGAAGAAGAACATGGTTTGGGGGCTAATGGGGTTTCTTTGAAGGGGGAGGCTTCTTCTTCGTTCAAGGATCCGAGATGGGTGAAGGGGAATTGGGATCTGAAGCAGTTTGAGAAGAATGGGAGCACTGATTGGGATGTTGTCATTGCTGCTGGTTTGATTTCTTTAATCAACATTGTTTTTTTTTTTCAATTTCTCGGTTTTATTGTGTGATGAAGATGCTAATACATTTGGGTTTTCCCCAGGCTGAAGATTGCATATTGCAAATCATTTAGATGTCATAGGTTAGAGAACAATTATGAAGCAATTGTAGTTTATTGTAGCGTTAGTAAGGATTCATGTATCCATGTTCGTTTATGTTTTGCCTTAAGTTTCTATTTTGACTTGGGTTCCGTCGTACTGAGCTCATATTACAGTTGGATATGTATACGATTTGTGACAAGTCAATTGCCAAATCAATGTTACTCAGCTAGTTACATGTAACTGTTGAAATCTAATGTTTGTGCTATGAATTATGGTGTATAGTTAGAAAAGTATACCTTGATCTTATGGCTGTCACATTGTTATAGAAGATTTAGCAAGTAACTTGGGTTGAAGATATTACCTTTTATCCTTTTCAGATATTTTGCGAAATATCGGAGCTGATGCGATCATCATTGCAAGTTTTGCGCAAAATAGTTTCAAAATAGTTGCAACAGTACTCTCAAATAAATTTTCACCATTCAGATATGCTTAAATCTGCATTCAGTGTATACCGTGCAAGAAGTCATGCAGAAAATCTATGATGCCCCAGTTAGAAACATAAGGAGCGTGCACGTTGTAATGTATACAAACACGCCTCTTAAAAGTGCCACATTAGTATCAAACTTGTGATGAAATTATGTTTCTAGCGTGCAACAAGGCTAGATGAAATTATGTTTCTAGCGTGCCATATTAATCATGCAGATTTTATTTTGTGCAGGTCAAGTCATAGAGAGGCTGTTGATATCAATATTAGGTCCCCATTCAATGTTGAAAATGGCTCAAAAAATGTGACTGGTATATAAGAATGCAAGTTTCAATATTAAAAGCATACTCTATAAGGAGTTGTCACCAAGCCGAGGAGCTTGTTTGAAATCCTTGTTACAACAAGAACAGGGTTCTTTGCGGATTCATCAACAAAAAGTTGATATTGAACACCAAGTGAAGATGCACTAGAAGATAGAGCTTAATGGTAGACCACAATTTGTATGTTCTAAGTTGTAATGATTTTGTTTTATACGGAATTAAAAAGAGAAGGCTCATGATGGAAGAAATCAAACTGGTAGGTGGAAAGTACTGGAAAGAATCATCTCAAGCAGCAGTTTTGTGAACATTAATAGGCAAGTGTTAACCTGAAAGAGGATAACAACAAAATCATCATAGTAACCAATAATTAAGTACATTAATAGGCAAGTGTTAACCTGAAAGAGGATAACAACAAAATCATCATAGTAACCAATAATTAAGTCATAAAGCAAGACAATCAATACCTCAAGCTCTTAAACATTGTCGAAATGAGCATCCATTCATCTTTGTCCAACATTTCCTTGTCAATTACTATTTCTTATCATTCCATTTGACAGTTCTTTCTAATATGGAATATATGAAGGTTAATGTTTATGTTTGATTTTCCTTTTTTTAGTATATACGAAAGTCAAGTCTTCCAACTCTTATTAAGAAATTCATTTTCTTTTCAGAGGCTAGAAAAAGAAAATGGCTGCAAGACACTCCTGAAGCATCAAGTAACGATGAGCATGTAGTCTTTGATTCATCAATAATACCCTGGTGGGCATGGATCAAAAGATATCATCTTCCTAAAGCTGAACTACTCAATGGGTTGGCTTCTGCATCTCATCTTTTATTGATTCTTATTGCATATGATGTGTAAAAATAAGAAATGTGAGAAGAGGGGGAAAAAGACTATTATTTCATTTAATGGTTAATTGCACTGGTTGAATCAATACTATGATGATGGTCTCTTTTGTTTTAGTTTTGATCGCAGCCTGGTCTCAGCCTTGGTTTGGTTTGCGATTTGGATGGCTTTTGTATTGGTCTCGGTTGTGTTGGATATTTGTGCTTGATAATTGTGTTGGATATTCAATGTTTGGTTTCAGTTGTGTTGGTTATGATCTTGGTTTCAACCAATGTTTGATAATATATGTGTGCTTGGCCTTTGGTTTCAGTTGTGTGCAAACTGAACTAAATTTCCAGCAATATTCAGTTGTGTACTTACCAGCCAATATTTTGTGTGCCACAATTTTTGTTGTTAATATTTTGTCTTATATGGGCGGTAATCACACCATGGTGACCACAATCAAGTTTTTTTGATTTTTTAGTTTGAACCAAACACTAGAAAATGAGGGAATCTATTTACACATCAATTGTTTTCTTCTTTTTTCAAGTTGAACCAAACTAAGAAAAATAGTGGAAAGTACTTTCAGCCTATATTTTTTGGCAAAACACAAGGAAACACAAAAAAATGAAGGAAAATCGTTTTTGGAAAATGAAGGAAACGAACCAAACAGGCCCTAAATGGATAGTGAACCCAAAATTGGAAAGTGGCTCTACTTTCAATGTTTCCCGTTTGGCATTTGAAACGTGAATGAAAAGTGATTGGAATGTGAAGAGTATCACATCAACATTTTAGCCTCTTCCACTTTCTCTAAAAATTAGAGAAAATATACTTTTTAGGTTGGATGGAAAGTGAAGTGAGAGGAGAGAGAAAATATATTTTCAGATTTTTCACGTAACACTTTAGTTTTACTTGTCCACTTTCTACTATTATATTATTTCCCGTAATAACACAACATAATAAGAAGAAAGTAAGTGAAACATCATTTGTCATATTCTCTCTTTTTACTTTCATTTATTCAAATATGATTTTTTTTGCAAAATAGAAAGTAATATTAAAGTACTTTCTTGAGAAATTTCGTTTTCTTTTTTTTACTTTTTATTTACTTTCTTTTCAAACATGGAGGAGATAGATTAGAGGGAGAGAGAGAGAGGTAGAAATTTAATATTAGTTAAAAGTCATTGTTATGGACAGTGTTTTTTTATCTTCGCTCTTTCTCTCTCCCTCTCTATCTCCCCCCCCCCCAAGCCCCCTCTTTTCTTACTATAACGATGCGACCTTTGAAGCAACCAGCTATTGTAAATTTCTTATTTCTACTTTTCTCTTTTCCCAAAAAAAAAATAAAGAAAACAAAACAAAACTCTCTTATCCCAAAAAATTAATTAGTTTCTTTTGCATGCTGATAGTAGATTATCTCTATTCTTATTAGTTCATTCTGATCCAAAATTATTTCTTATTACATACAATAACATTTTGATAGAATTCAACAAAATATATTACTCTTAATGAATTCATTGAAAAATATTTATTAAAAATTTGAATTCATATAGAAATGTTGATAATTTTTTGGGATTTACCAAAAAAATTATTTAGAAAAAGGCCTTCGCCTACAAAAAAGTGTTTTTTTTACGTGGAGGTTGAGGAAGTATCATATAGCATATAATATCTTTTTTCGGACAAATTTTCAAAAACTACATATTTCCACATTTAATCCCAAAAAAGACTCATTTCCATAATATTTTCAAAAACCGACCTGGTTTCAGCGCGAAGCCTTGGCGCTGAAACCAGGTCGATTTTTGTGAAAAAACTTCTGAAACTTCACGGGAGTTTCGAAAGTTTTTTTACAAAAACCAACCTAGTTTCAGCCTGACAAAGCTGAAACCAGATCGATTTTTGAAAATATTATGAAAATAAGTATTTTTGGGGATTAAATGTCCATATGAGTAGGGGTGGAAATGAACCAAACAATTAACAAATAATTCGATAATTGTTCGAATAACTATTCAGACATATTCGATTCGGTAGTTCACTTACCACTAAACGAATATTTTTTAGTATTCGAGTTACTAATGAATAGAATTTAACCAGATGTATATTCGATTCGTTTGTCTATTAAATATTCGTTTAAAATTTGATCACAACTTATTATTTGTATTATTGCACATATGATGTCATATTTTTAATCCACTTACCATTTCTACTTAAGTTTTATATAGTGATTTTAAGACTTAAATAATCTTAAATTTGTTTTCTAATTAAAATTTTGATTTAAATATATATACATCATATTTTATAAACGAATAATTTTTATTTATCAATTTTAATACTATTTGAAAATCAAATTCTTTGACGGAATAAATATACTTTGATATTCGATAAGTATTCGTGAATATTCATAAATATTTATCAAATACCAAGTATTCGAATTCGAAAACCTAGATATATGACTATTAGAGTCCACATTCGAATTCGATAATTTGAAACAAATACAAATATGAACACCTTAGTAATCAATTCCATTGGAACATTTACCACCCCTGCATATGAGACGGTTTTAAAAATTTGTCCATTTTTTTCACCCCTGTTGGGTAAAAGCTCAAACCCTCGCTCCTGCTTCAATCACTCTCGCGATCATGTCCTCTTCCTCCCGCTTCCTCGCTCGTTTCTTCTCTTCATCGTCAACCTCAACCCAAACCCTAACCCTAACTCCTCCTCCTCAATTCAACCTCAGCACCATCACCGACCTCGCCAACCTCCGCCAATGGCCGAAACTCCGCTCTCACCTCCACTCTCTCCTCTCCAACCCCCAAACCCTACCCCTCTCAGTCCCCTCCTTCTTCCACTCTCTCTCCTCCTCCTTCCTCCCTCGCTCCTCTCAATCTATCGTCGCCGACATCCTCATCCTCTCCCTCCTCTCCGCCTCCGACACCGCCGCCGCCGTCGACGCCTTCTTTCGCTCCGGCCATTACAGGTACAAGCTCTCAACTTTCTCTCTAAACCCTTTACTAAGTTCCCTCATCAAAACCCATCACCTCAACCTCGCCCAGTCCGTATTCAATCAAATGCTCACCTCCAGAAAAATCGCTCCCAATTCCATAACTTTCAACACCATGATCAATGGACTCTGCAAGAGTGGAAAGCTTACTAAAGCTGAGGACATGATTAAGGATATGAAGGCTTGGGGGGTTTCGCCAAATGTTGTTACTTATAATACATTGATTGATGGGTATTGTAAGAGAGGGAAGATGTATAGGGCTGATGGGTTAGTTAAGGAGATGGTGGGGTTTGGGATTTTGCCTAATTCGGTTACTTTTAATGTTTTGATTGATGGGTATTGTAAAGATGGGAATTTGAAGGGTGGGTTGAAGTTTTTTGAGGAGATGAAGAGGCAAGGGGTTGAACCGAGTGTGGTCACGCTCTTATCTACCTGTCATTGTGAACAAGTGTTACATGGAGATGTGACATGTCTCACAGGGTCATATGTTGAAGATCCAAAAGGGCACGTCATGGATATATTCGAAAAGCTGACATGGTGAGGCCTCATCTCACCTTCCCCCACATTTGAGTGAGAAAGAGGACAGAAAAGATGCAAGTAACAATAGATAGAATGTCAAAACGAGGAAACAAGCCTTCAAAAGTATCAAGTTGACTTTCACAAAATAAATGCCGATAGTAACATATATAGCTATGTTTGACGATATTTGCAAGGTTTTAAATGTCGGATGTCGGGTTCATGTCAGATGGCTGAAATCCATGTCGGATAGCGGAAATCGGGGATATATCGGGGGACATTGACTAAATATCGGATTGCCATATCGGGTAGTGCGCATATGTATAATATCATGTCTTAAATGTAGTCTAAGCATTCATAAATTCAATATAAACATACTTTATAAATTCTATAGACTAAACATATAAAAAAGTAAATAATATATGGATTTTGGTTCATAAATTCTTTCTATCGGGTTCATAAGAAACCCTTAAACATGAGAACGGGTCAAGCGAGTTTGAGTATTTATCACTAAACCCAAACCCGATAACAAAAAACAGATCTTAAAAAAAATACAATATCGGTCGATTTTTCAAAGCTAAAAAATAGGTCGATATGCCTGATATGACCTTGATATTTCCGATTTGGCCCTGAAAACCGATATACGAGTTGAAAACGTCCATGTCGTGTCGGTCAAGCCCTCAAACCGATATGTCGGCCGACATGTCGGACATGTCGGGCGACATTTAAAACCTTGGTGAGAAGAGGAAGATGGATGAGGCCAATGGGCTACTAAATGAAATGTTGGAGAAAGGATTGGTTCCGAATAATGTTACTTATGACATAATTAAAGACGGGATGGTGGAGAAAGGATTTGTTCCTGATATAGATGGGCATCTTTCTAATAGTGCATCTTAGCATTGTATATGACGAAAAGATTGATGGTGTTCCCGTAAATGGAGTTATTTTGACTGAGGTGTTACTAAAATTGGGTTGATGGTAACTTCTATAAGAACTTTTGACAGTGTTTGCTAGCAGAAAGTGGATGCCAAACTGTTAGTTTCAATGGTAAATTGGACACGTGGCATCAATAAGATGAAAGAAGCAAAACAAACTTCTGGAAAATGTAAGATGCATGAAGCAAATGAGTCAGCAACTGAGAAGTTAAGCATCGCAAAAGTTCATTTCAATGAAGAAGTTTTTCCTTAGGAGGAGCAAGTATTATTTGGTTTCAATGTGACCAGTTGAAATTAGAGCTTGCAGTGACAGAGAACAGCATTCGCCACAGGCAAAACAAACAAAGAAATATAGAAGTTTTCAGCAGCAAACCTCAAAAGTAAGGAAGTACACTTCAGATGTGAGAGTATTTGTAAATAAAATAGAAAAAATCAAATATCGGGATGCTAGGAATGTTGATGTAATGTAAGCACTCATGTTTCAGAAAGTGAATTCCATCTTGAAGGGTGTTCTTTTTATATAATTTTGCTTTTGCTTCTGCAGGAAGTAATCTGGATTTAAATACAATGATGGTTGAGACTTGCAGAATGCAACAAAAGTGTGTCATACCATTGGGGAATGCCTCCAATTTACAGGTTCCATATATTTCACTCTTATGTCGAATATTCAAGTTTAGACTTGCCCTATTTTTACTGCATGCATTATCTACTTGTTTAACTAGACCCCACAGGTTGCTAATTGATTTTTTATTGAAATGCAAATATGCAATCACATTTAGCCAACATTTCAATTGGATAATTTATTTAAAAGTGGAAACTAAATACTTCGACCTGTTCTCTGACAGCTAAACTCTCACCTTTCCATGGCTTAATAGATATATGATTGTATATGCTTTAGAGAAAAAAGATCGTTACCAAGACAACAATCATGTTACAATAATGTGATATGCCGATCTAACCTATATGTTTTACTTTCCAACAAGATATTTGTCATTTCAGTCTCACAAAATGTAATAGCAATGACCCATTGAGAGTTTATTATGTAGATGCAATCTCTAGTTTTCTCACTAGAGTCATGGTAACCTGATCTTCATTTTGCTTTATGATACAAGGCCTCAACAGAAAGAATTAATAGTTGAGTTCAAGATATACATGTGTAAATCTATTTTAACATTAGAACGATAATAGAAAAAGTGATGAAATTAAATATAAAGTTTTGGATCAAGATGGTGGCCCCATTAAGGCCCATGTTCTCCCAAATTGCCCCCCCCCCCCCCCCCTGCATATTAGAAGCATTGTGCTCAGAATTGATCAGTGATGACTGGTAACAGTAAGGAGGAAAGTTTTAAATCTTAGATACGACATTGTTTGACAGTTTGAAATGATGGAGAGATGCTCAGTCTGCATTGGCGTAAATACTTCATCAAAGACATGCTTTGATTCCTTGTAGGAGACAAGTAAACTTCCTGACTTCAGCGTTGAAAAAGGTCGGTGTCTTAGATGAAATGTCTGGTGATTGTTTGTGATGGCTAGTAATGATGGGTAAGTGTTCAGTTTCCATGAATGTATATACTTGAGACTTCTTTTGAAATATTTGTTTGATTCTTTTGAAGAGATGGGTGTTGCTTAGTTGCATTCTGGTTCTAAATGTGAGATTGATTTGTATCAAAGTTGTGCATAGGGGCTGGATTTTTTTTGTTGCATATTTGTTTAAAAAACTATTCTGCATTTCCTTTCCCATAAATAAGACTCTTCTTTGAAGTGATTTGTTTCCACGCAATTGTTGTGCCTTCTTCAATTCTCCATTTACAGGATGATCACATTCTCGTGTTCTTTGCATTGGACATAGCTAAGAATTCATAATGTCATAAACTAAGGGTATGCAGGAAAAATGAAGAGAATCATCACACTTTTTTCTCGGACCTGAAAAATTAGGTTCTCAGGTATAAAAGAAGTTTGATATCAACTGCTCTCTCATGCTCAAAAAGAGACAAATTGAAATGCGCAGCACATTAGCTTATTTAAACGTGGGCTTGCTGCTATTTTATTTCTATTCCAGCTTTGCTGTTAAGGAGTTTATCTGTAATCTGGAGTCCTTCACTGTTATATGCCACAAGCTGTCCATTTATTTGATGAAGGGTGTGAAAGCTGAAGTCAATTTGGGTAGACGAGGTTGGACGTGACTTTATTTATGCACTGTAATGGCCTATTTTCTGTTTAGGGGCTATTTGGTTCGCTTAAAATGCCTGTGGAAACACTTTCTTGCGTCTGACACCCTTTCCATGTCGGTTTTTTTGTTTCCGTCCATTTCTTTGCGCTGCTTTGATTCGCTCGGGTGGAAAAGGGAAAACTCTGTTGAAATCGCCGCCAGCTCGGATTTTTTTCCCCCTCCGATTTTCTTCCTCAACTGAGAGAAATCGACGAAAACCTGGCCACCTCGGATTTTTTCTCCCTCGTTGATTTCTTTGGCTACCTCCCTGCTCCCCTCCCGCCAGAAATCTCCCGCGGCCTCTGATCTCGTGGATTCAGAACCCCGTTCCTCTGATCTCGTGGATTCAGAACCCTAACTCACTTCTGCCGTCTAATTGAGGTAACGATCTTATGGAAACCCTCTTTTGATTTCTAGGTTTAGGGATTCTGAGTTTTCAACCACAAAATAACTGGGGAGATCTATGGTCACCGTCTCATTTCCCCCTCTCTCTCCTCTCGCTTCGCGCTTCTCTCTCAACAGAAGTAAAATCCTAGTTCCTCTGCAAACCAAAATCGCTCACAAAACTTGAGATTTTGGTTAAATAATCGAAGAATCTGAACTATTTTATGTTGTTGAAAACGGATTGAGGAAGAAATTTCAGATTTGGGGCTATGGATTTCATGAATTTGATGCTAAGACGATCGTGTTCTAAGGTCTTGTTCTGATAGTTCAGAATCTTACTTCTGGGGCTTTTGTTCGCTTGTTTTCCCCAAAAATCTCCTATCCCGAAGCCTTGACCTTTTGTTCTTTGATTCCTATGAAAAGTTTTCATTGTGCTTTTAAAATGGTGGGCTGCTTTGTTTATGTATGGATTTTAATTAGTTTGCTTTACATGGTCATTTAATTTTCCATGCTTTCACATTTAGTAATTCATGATGTATTACTCACTATGTGTAAATTGATTTGTACAATTCAAGCAATGTACGGTAAAGTGAAAAAGTAGCATGTAAAGTAATTTCCAAATAACTAAATATGATTAAACTGATTATGCTTCTATTCTCTATGTTGTTTCTATTCTTTATCTGATTGTGGAGAGTTTTGTCGATGAACTTCTGTTAATGTTCATAAGCTTTTAGTTCACTGATTGTATTTCTATTCTGTTAATGTTCATGCATGTTGCTCCTGTTACATTCAAACTGGGCATTATAGTGATCTCCCTTCATGGTTTTTTATGTCAAATTTGACAGAATCAAGGTTATTTCATATATTATCTTCTGGGATGTTTGTGTTCAGGCGCTTGGTTGTTCTATTTGTGTTCAGGTTTGTTCTGTTTTGTCCCTACTATTTGTGGATTGTTTTGTGCACATGTGACCTTATTTTGTGCACATATGAGCTCCCGTGGCTGTTTTTTCTTACTATGCTGATTCGAGCTTGTTTAGCTCTATGTTGTTGGGTTTGTGGTTGCTATTTGTGCTCGTCGTCGAGCTCCCGTGGCTGTTTTTTTCTTTTCACTATGCTGATTCGAGCTTGATTAGCTCTATGTTGTTGGGTTTGTGGTTGCTATTTGTGACATGTTAGTTTTAATTTGTACCATGTTAGTTTTAATTTATGTTATATTAGTTCTAATTTGTACCATGTTAGTTCTAACTTTTAGGTAGTGTTATTTTTAATATAAGTGTTAGTTCTAGTGGTATGTTAGTTCTAGTTGAGCCCTGTTAGTTTTAGTGGCTCTCGTGTTAGTTCTAGTTGATGTCGTGTTAGTTCTAACTTTCAGGTAGTGTTATTTTATAAGCATTAGTTCTAGTGGTATGTTAGTTCTACTTCTAGTGGCTCTCGTGTTAGTTCTAGCTGATGTCGTGTTAGTTATAACTTGCAGCTAGTGTTATTTCTAATATAAACGTTAGTTCTAGTGGTATGTTAGTTCTGGTTGAGCCATTGTTAGTTCTAACTTTCAACTAGTGTTATTTCTAATATAATCGTTAGTTCTAGTGGTCTGTTAGATCTAGTTGAGCTCTTGTTAGTTTTAGTCGCTCTCGTGTTAGTTCTAGCTGATGTCGTGTTGGTTCTAACTTGCAGCTAGTGTTATTTCTAATATAAGTGTTAGTTCTAGTGGTATGTTAGTTCTAGTTGAGCCTATGTGAGTTCTAGTGGCTCTCGTGTTAGTTCTAGATGATGTTGTGTTAGTTCTAACCTGCAATAGACGAGTAAATTTGGAGTCAACAAAATTGCTTCATGTTGACATGACCCTTTGCTATTCATATATTTTTTATTAAAAAATGTAAGAATTGTACAATTATATCTGTCAGATCACATGCAAATAAAAAAATGTATATGCTACATGAAATACTTTATGTATAATATTTTTGTTTGTTTAGCCCATGCTATAAGGAAGGCATGAATTAAATTTAAAAATAGAGGAAAACTTCAATGTGACATTTAAACTATTTATCAACGTAAAATTTAAAGACATAGCTCTGGGTGAAATTATGGATTGTGTGAAGTGCCATGTTCAACTACTATCATTTTCATTTTGGAAAACAAAGGTGTTCACTATTAGTCTATTATGACTTCTAACTAAAACATGATTCTGTACAGACACTTCGAATTAATTTTTTTGATGAACTAACAAATATGCGACTAAATAAACCGCAATTTCTTTTAAATATTGAATTAATTTCAATGTGGCTTATATCTGTATAATTCAATATTTTTCTACCCGCGCATTATGCACATGCATGTTATCTAGTAGGGCTGTTTGGTTGGTTTCCTAAAAACCAAGAAAAGGAAATCGGTACAAGGAAATCAATAAAATAATATTTTTATCCATTTCCATCCCTAAAACTCGCTACAACATCTAATAAAATATTATTTTTATCCTCCAACTCATCTCATTTCATCTTCTTTCTTACCTTTAAAAATAAACCAAACACAAAAAATGTGTCACATCATCCCAACTCATCACATCTTATTTTATCTCATTTTTAAAAATCACACACATCATCCAATAATATTGTGACAACTCATCTCACCTCATTAAACATTCCTTTCCATCCATTTCCTCAAAAAAAAACAAGAAATCAATTTCCTTAAGTACGTGTCACATCATCCAATAATATATCTCCAACTCATCTCATCTCATCTATTTTCTTATTTTTAAAAACGAACCAAACACAAACAATCTCAAAACATCATCCAATAATATACCTCCAATTCATTTCCTTATTTTTTTAACCAACCAAACAACCTCAAAACAAGTTTTTTTAAAAAATCACTCACATCATCCAATAATAAGGTGACAACTCATCTCATCTCATCTCGTATTCTATAATTTCCTTCTTTTTTAAGCTAACCAAACAACTTCAAAACCATTATAATAGGAAATAAGTTTCCTATTTTTTGATTTCCAGGTTTTTTTGGCCAAACGAACAGCCCCTAAAAGAAAATAAAAAAATGGACGGGGAGGGAGGCATAGAATACATGTGCCAATGTAGTTGATTCTATATCTCTCTCACTCCCTATTTTTAAACTCGTCACTCTCTTTCAATACTATCTTTACATAATAATAATAATAATATTATTATTATTATTATTATTATTATTATTATTATTATTTTGGTTGGTGTGGCCATCGCCGTCTTTCCTCCCATTATACCTTATCTATATGTTGTAATGAGCTATCCCTGCAGCTTCCTTCATCGAAGAGATGGGTAACTAAACATTCGCATTTCATATCATCATGTTGTGCCACTGCCGCCTATGATCTTTTAGAACTAAACATCATTAGAGATTTGTGACAGATAGACGTAGTACTAACATATTCCGTCCCTTCCTCCACATGGTCTGCTCCATCTTCGCCACAAATCTAGCGTGCAACAATGAACCTACAACATAGAGTGGGCGTAAAAGGAAATCACAGGAGCGTAAGTGGGATTAACTGTGTTTTTATTTTATTTTTTTTGGGTTTTGGGTTCAATTTATTGTTTTTATATTCTCTTTTGGAAGTGAATACTGATCTTTAGATCTTAATAAACTACAAGAAATATTTGGATGAGGTTGTAATTAAAAGACGTGGTTCTGACTTTCGCATGTTTGCGGAAGAATCTCCACAGTCGGGAGAAAAATACTGTGGCTGTGTCCAAAAGGCCCAAGGAAGAAGAAGTCAACTTCTGATCGACTCAATCTATTGGTATCATCCCAAGCTGCACCTTTAAAACCAAGAATAGCATCATAATTTTCTTAAGGCATATTAGCGACGGTCGTCGTCCATCTACACAACATTATACCTAACCTAGCTGCCGCCTCATTTTCATCAACTCATTCACTAGGTATATATAACAGAAACAGCGGCAGCAATAAGAACTTGCACTGAAAAAGCAACACAATCAAACATAGACTTGAACAGCAAAACCATATACGTCTCATAAACATCAAACAGACGGCGAAAATTTCAGCGTTCAAAGTTTCCCCAAAGTACCAGAAGAAGAGCCAAGATACCCAGAAAACTAATGCATCCCAAATTCCTTCAAATATGGAGTAAAAAAGAACACCTAGTAGCCTGAAAATGAGATCTTTATGCCCTAGATTACTTCTTATCTTCCTTCCCGGCTTCAGCAACTCTCTTAAGCCTTGCTCCATGGTGACGCTTGTTAGTCCTCTCCAAACGAAGCATCTGGTAAGCTCTGTAGCTCTGAAAGCCTTCATCTCCTCTGTCACCTTGACAAGACTAACCACAGGCTTCTCCCTAGTGATGGGCATGTAGTCTCCTTGGACTTGGGTCGACGAAGCCAGCTCTTCAGCGGACAGGCTTCTCCCTAGTGATGGGCATGTAGTCTCCTTGGACTTGGGTCGACGAAGCCAGCTCTTCAGCGGTGGAGTCTCCATTCTGCACCAATAACACCATTTAGTTTCGACAGCTTACAAAAAAAAAAAAGACTAAAAAAGTTAATTTGACGTGTTGTCAAATGATGGGGTGCAATATATGCAGACCGATGATCAAATTTGATCAATTGTCACAAATTGTAAGTAAATAAAGATTGGATTTTTAATTTTCATGTGCATTTAGTTGAGTGACTAGCTTGAGTGCTAGGTGGTAACCTTGAATTTGCCAGGGCGTCTTGGGAAGATGACAAGCTTAGCCTTGTATTCCATCAACCTCTGCACATTAAACCTGTATACAGTTCAACAATTACCCTACCAAACCTCATAATTGCTATTTTATCCCCATATTATAGTCAACCCCTCAACTTCAAACCCCTCAATCACTGTTAAAGAATGGAATTTGAGTGGAATATTATATTTTATTAACATAATTTAATTGACATCTCAATCGCTAACTGCCCTTAACTAATAAGGGTTCGTTAGCTGTTGTCAGTAGTCAATCTGCCCACCGCCCATACAACCTGTCAGAACAATACTTCCCTCATCCCTCATTCAAAGTAGTGTACCATGTATCCATTCTATTATAACAAGCCCAATGAATAATATGAATGTGACAACATAGGATGAAATTAGAAATACTTAACAATTAATTTCCCACAAAACGACCAATTAATACAAATGTGACAACATAGGATGAAATTAGAAATACTTAACAATTAATTTCCCACAAAACGACCAATTAATACAAATGCTCGCGAAATAACCATAAATACCATTACTTAACAATTAATTTCCCACAAAACGACCAATTAATACAAATGCTCGCGAAATAACCATAAATACCATTTAAAAATCCTAGGGAATTGCAAGCAAATAAATAAATGTTCATAACGTAAAAGACAATTGTATCAGAAAACAAGAACAATTTGCAACATAAGACATGCAAGGCAGGGTATGTACATGCCAACGCAATATGCTAAAACTTGAAGAGCTACATGAAACTAATATTCAAACTTTGAGCTCTTCGATCAAGGGTGAAAACCTCTGCCTGCCCTCAATTTCATGTCGTACTTGAGAGTTTGGCAGAGCACAACAGGACGTAGAGGTCCTGCTGTAGGCCTGGGGAAGATTTTGACAGCTTCCTTCTGTCGCGCTGCATGCGTAGGGTAAAGCAAGGTTAGCTATCCGCTTTCATGAACCCAGATTATACTGGCTGACAGGGGGATAAAAATTAGGAAATTGGAAATGAAGCTAAGTTTTCTGGTTAATTAGAAAGCCACAAGATTCCATACCAATTCTTCTCCTTGTTTTACGAGCAGGTTGATCGAACCAGGTCTTCACATAATTCTGCCAATGCTTCTTGAAGTGTCCATTAGGGATAACATTGTTATGCTTCACCATGACTTACCTGAATACCAGATTGAGCAAAAATAAGCATAAGTTTAGAAGGTTTAAGAAAATAAATCCAGACCTAAACTATATATAGAGACAACAGGATGAAATATGAAGTTATAATCAACCACAAGAGTAATAAAAATTATTGCAGCTTATCTGCTTTCCTATAGTACTTATAATATGAATAAATAATGGTGAAATTTTATAGTACAACTGAGCTTTAAGAATACGTAAACATGCACAGAGTAAATAGACAGACACATCATTGTTTAGTAGATAAGAGTCGAGAGTACTTGAGCAATGAAAAACGCCAGGATCTAAGTACATCTGAAAGAAAAATGAAAAACTACAGAAATGTGGCTAAATTTGATGATTTTAAATCAGTTAAAGTCTGCAGCAATTTCAAAAGAGAGATTTTCCCTTAGTAAATTATTTCGATGTCAAATACTACACCAACTGATTACACAAAGCAACCTCGTAGTGTTAAATTGTTACACCTACAAAAACACCAGAAAAGAGGAAAACTATCTACACAGATCACATGGACGCGACAAACCTGTGCTACGAGAATTGAACTGAACTATTGCAAGCTTCAAATTTGACGCATCCTAATTTCTAACTAACACTTTCAACCCTAAAGAAAGAGTTAAACTGCATTAAAAATGAATCATTGAACATTCCTTTTGTTGTTTTCATAAGAGGGATCTGATGATAACCATTCACTAAGCATACATACTAGCTATCTATCTTTAAATTTTTGAGATTCGCGAAACTTCACATATAAGTTCCCTAAGTTTGCTCATACCAAAACTAATCATGAAAAACAAGTTTACATCATCATTTCAGTATATCCTAGAAATTGGTAGCACATGTCAATTGGCATTTCACCAAAATGGTTCGACCCCTATAATTTCTCGATGACTTGTTTGTTTCCTACCAGCTGAAATGAATTAATTCGACATAAAATATGGAACGCCCATGAAAACTTAAAGTAGAGCACCTAATGAGCATACCATCTACGACATTTAAAACAAAAATTATTCTCAAATGTCAAAGTAAATGCATCAGCTTCTTCTAGTATGAAACAATTAACACAGAAAATCCGTACACGTTCAATTTCGATAATAGCTACATATCATACTCAAATTCGAATCAAATATATCCATGAAAAATGCTTGGAAAATTAAAAAAAAAAATCAAGGAAACGAGACATCATGTTATTTGTTCTAAATTACTTGAGAGAGATTAACAAACAAACCCTAGAAATCGCGAAGAAAGGGGGAAAAGGAGTCACCTTTAAGAGAGGGTTGCTGCCTGCTCACAGAGAAACCCTAGATTCTGAAATATAAAGGAAGTTTAGAAGCGACTGCAAATATTATTTATAGGTCAAATGACTCGTGACCGTCCAAAGCAGTGTGATTACGATTTCGGATCCCAATAACGAATTAGGTGGGCGTTAACAACCTACCCGACCCGCCAGCGCTCAAACCTCTCGATTCTGGAGGGGAAGCTGTTTATATTTTTATAGATCCTTGCATAATTATTCTATTTTATTAAAAAACATTTATGAGATTTTTTTTATAGAAAAATATTATTTTCTTTAAGTGTGATGAAATAGTTTATGTAAAAAGAAGTCAAACGCTTCTTAAAATTTTTATAATCACGTTCTTTATTTAGTCATCCACAACACTAGCGATAAATGTTGATCGCTCTAGAAATAGTCCCTCAGATCAGCAATTTTTACGTGGTTCGGCAAGTTGCCTACGTCCACGGGGCAAGAAGGGGATGAGTTTTTACTAATAGAGAAGTAGAGTACAAACTGAGATTACAAATCACTCAAAACAACCAACTAATTTCACCAACAAATCTCTAATTCTCTCCAAAATAAAACTCTAACCAATAGCTTAAAAATACCTCTTTTTTGTGCTCTATATATCCCACAATCAATGCTTAATCAAAGCCCAATCAAAGCCAAAGAAACCCTAAAAATGTGTCTCTATTTATAACAAAACACAATACCAAACAGATTGGGGTGGCAGACACCACACCCATGTCAACCGGGACAGATTCTGCCATCTGGGTGTTGAGAAGCTTGTCTTGCTTATTTTTCACGTTTTTCTCCAATTCCTTCGCCGTTTTCACAAAAAATTCAGCGTTCAAAGTTTCCCCAAAGTATCAGAAGAAGAGCCAAGATACCCAGAAAACTAATGTAGATTGCCAAATTCCTTCAAATATGGAGTAAAAAAGAATACCTAAAAGCTTGAAAATGAGATCTTTATGCCCTATATTACTTCTTATCTTCCTTCTCGGCTTCAGCAGCTCTCTTAAGCCTTGCTCCATGGTGACGCTTGTTAGTCCTCTCCAAACGAAGCTTCTGGTAAGCTCTGAAAGCCTTCATCTCCTCTGTCACCTTGACAAGACTAACCACAGGCTTCTCCCTAGTGATGGGCATGTAGTCTCCTTGGACTTGGGTCGACGAAGCCAGCTCTTCAGCGGACAGGCTTCTCCCTAGTGATGGGCATGTAGTCTCCTTGGACTTGGGTCGACGAAGCCAGCTCTTCAGCGGCGGAGTCTCCATTCTGCACCAATAACACCATTTAGTTTCGACAGCTTACAAAAAAAAGACTAAAAAAGTTAATTTGACGCCTTGTCAAATGATGGGGTGCAATATATGCAGACTGATGATCAAATTTGATCAATTGTCACAAACTATAAGTAAATAAAGATTGGCTTTTTAATTTTCATGTGCATTTAGTTGATCAGTGACTAGCTTGAGTGCTAGGTGGTAACCTTGAATTTGCCAGGGCGTCTTGGGAAGATGACAAGCTTAGCCTTGTACTCCATCAACCTCTGCACATTAAACCTGTATACAGTTCAACAATTACCCTACAAAACCTCATAATTGCTATTTTATCCCCAAATTATAGTCAACCCCTCAACTTCAAACCCCTTAATCACTGTTAAAGAATAGAATTTGAGTGGAACATTATATTTTATTAACATAATTTAATTGACATCTCAATCGCTAACTGCCCTTAACTAGTAAGGGTTCATTAGCTGTTGTCAGTCGTCAATCTGCCCACCGCCCATACAACCTGTCAGAACAATTCTTCCCTCATCTCTCATTCAAAGTAGTGTACCATGTATCCACTCTATTATAACAAGCCCAATGAATAATATGAATATGACAACATAGGATGAAATTAGAAATACTTAACAATTAATTTCCCACAAAACGACCAATTAATACAAATATGACAACATAGGATGAAATTAGAAATACTTAACAATTAATTTCCCACAAAACGACCAATTAATACAAATGCTCGCGAAATAACCATAAATACCATTACTTAACAATTAATTTCCCACAAAACGACCAATTAATACAAATGCTCGCGAAATAACCATAAATACCATTAAAAATCGTAGGGAATTGCAAGCAAATAAATAAATGTTCATAACATAAAAGACAATTGTATCAGAAAACAAGAACAATTTGCAACATAAGACATGCAAGGCAGGGTATGTACATGCCTACGCAATATGCTAAAACTTGAAGAGCTACATGAAACTAATATTCAAACTTTGAGCTCTTCGATCAAGGGTGAAAACCTCTGCCTGCCCTCAATTTCATGTCGTACTTGAGAGTTTGGCAGAGCACAACAGGACGTAGAGGTCCTGCTGTAGGCCTGGGGAAGATTTTGACAGCTTCCTTCTGTCGCGCTGCATGCGTAGGGTAAAGCAAGGTTAGCTATCCGCTTTCATGAACCCAGATTATACTGGCTGACAGGGGGATAAAAATTAGGAAATTGGAAATGAAGCTAAGTTTTCTGGTTAATTAGAAAGCCACAAGAGTCCATACCAATTCTTCTCCTTGTTTTACGAGCAGGTTGATCGAACCAGGTCTTCACATAATTCTGCCGATGCTTCTTGAAGCGTCCATTAGGGATAACATGGTTATGCTTCACCAAGACTTACCTGAATACCAGAATGAGCAAAAATAAGCATAAGTTTAGAAGGTTTAAGAAAATAAATCCAGACCTAAACTATAGAGACAACAGGATGAAATATGAAGTTATAATCAACCACAAGAGTAATAAAAATTATTGCACGTTATCTGCTTTCCTATAGTACTTATAATATGAATAAATAATGGTGAATTTTTATAGTACAACTGAGCTTTAAGAATACGTAAACATGCACAGAGTAAATAGACAGACACATCATTGTTTAGTAGATAAGAGTCGAGAGTACTTGAGCAATGAAAAACGCCAGGATCTAAGTACACCTGAAAGAAAAGTGAAAAACTACAGAAATGTGGCTAAATTTGATGGTTTTAAATCCGTTGAAGTCTGCAGCAATTTCAAAAGAGAGATTTTCCCTTGGTAAATTATTTCAATGTCAAATACTACACCAACTGATTACACAAAGCAACCTCATAGTGTTAAATTGTTACACCTACAAAAACACCAGAAAAGGGGAAAACTATCTACACAGATCACATGGACATGACAAACTTGTGCTACGAGAAATGAACTGACCTATTGCAAGCTTCAAATTTTACACATCCTAATTTCTAACTAACACCTTCAACCCTAAAGAAAGAGTTAAACTGCATCAAAAATGAATCATTGAACATTCCTTTTGTTGTTTTCATACGACGGATCTGAAGCAAAAATATATACAGAGTTGAACCTATGTTTAATGGCTTTATTTGTTGTTGTTATCTGAAGCAAAAATATGTCATAAAAAAACATATACAGAGCTGAAGCAATACAGAGCTGAAGCAAAAATATGTCATTATATACCACATCACATGCTAACAATACAGAGCTGAAGCAAAAATATGTCATAAAAAGACATATTTCCAGTGAAAGAACACAACACTTGCACATAACTAAGATAGTCGAGCATATGATGCTGTGTATAAAAGAGCACAACAAAATTCAATATCATCCAGAAACATGCAAGTTCTATTATCAGCATATTGTATTAACTAAGATAGTCGAGCATAACAAAATTCAATATCATCCAGAAGTTTTAAATTTAACAGGAGCCAAAAGCATCAGCCCTTCGATAAGGGGAAAAAAGCTTTCAACATCTAAAAGTCAGCTGGAAATGTCTTCAAGTAGTAATCAGTCCTTCGATAAAAGAGGCTTCACAACCAGAAGCATCAGGAGCCAAACAGCATCAGGAACAAAACATACAATAGCAGGAACTTGTGGTGGTTTTTTCTCAACAGGGCCCTGAATGCAAAAAACAAATTTTAATACAACTTGTTACAAGAGCATAATTGATGAACATTTACCCCAATAAGCAAATCATACCCATAGGTTTGATGCATCACATCATGTTTCTTTGATGCAATCCATACAATTGTGTCAACCCCATACTATGTTTTCATTTTCCTCCTTTTCATGGTCCTTTTCTTCTTCCACAAAATCATGATTCATCGGTACTTCTTTTCCTTTCTGACTTGATTCAGCAAGTTGTAGTTCTCTAAATTTGGTGTCTATCCATTTTTTAACAACCTCACATTCATGGTTGTTTTGAGCAGCAAGATCAGCAACCTCACTAAATGCAAGACATAGCTCGTGATAGCGTATTTGTTCAGGTGTGACAACCCAAGTATTAAATTTAACTTTCATCTTCGAGTGGGCTCGCCTCACATCCTTTCTCCACCTTCTTAGAATGTACTTTTCCGGAAGAAAGCTCACTTCGTGACGGATAAGAATGGTAAGGGCATGCCTACATACTATGCCTTTAAACACAAACAACCGACAACTACATTGAACTTCACAATCCTTTTCACGAAAGGATACTGTGAAGAATTTAGGAATCCTTTTGCCGCTCTCCAACCGCAAAGTCAAGTCCCGAATGACATACTCAAGCACCCCTGCTCCCTCCTGATAGTTTACAATATCACAATATATCTTTCCCGTGAATTCAGCTTGAAACTCTTTAAACTTTGCTAAAGTGTTATATCTTTCCCGTGAATTCAGCTTGAAACTCTTTAAACTTTGCTAAAGTGTAGACTCCCTGAATTTGATTCTCCATATCATAAGTTGTTGCAGTAGCTTTTACTTTTGAAAATGACTCTGCATCGGCCTGCATCTCCTTTTCCGCCTTGCTTCTTAATGCATTTTCATACTGCTCAACAAACTGTTTTAGACTTATTTTTGAATTGACATATCCATCAAAAAAAGCATTCATGCTTTCACTTCGCTGAGTAGTTGACATTCCTGCCCAAAAATGATTTTTGACAAAACATGGAACCCATCGGTTTCTCTCCTCGTACAATTCATGTAACCAATCACAATCCTCCAATCCATACATGTCAACCATTTCATTCCACTGTTTTTCAAACTCTTGTGGACTTTGTGCGTCATACACCACTCCTTTCATGGTAGAACTGATAGCCTCATATTCAGTGTACCTTCCTAACTTTTCTGACAGCTTCTTCATTATATGCCACAAACACCATCTGTGTCTAGTGTTTGGAAAAACAATCTCAATTGCATTTTTCATGGCTCTTGCTTGGTCAGTTATTATCCCTTGCGGAGCACATCCATCCATGCATTCAACCCACTTTGTAAATAGCCATATGAAAGTCTTTGTGTCTTCTTTTGAAATCAACCCACATCCAAGTAAAATTGATTGCCCGTGATGGTTAACGCCAACAAATGGTGCAAATGGCATATCATACTTATTTGTTAAGTATGTGGTATCAAAAGTGACGACCTCACCAAACTCTTTATAAGCTTCTCTGCTCCTACCATCTGCCCAAAATACATTTTTTAAATGATCTTCATCATCCAATTCAATATCAAAATAGAAACCTGAATTTTCTGCAACCATCCTTGAAAAATATTTCATAATCGCTGAAGCATCACCTTCGCCGAGACGTAAACACCTTGATTCATCAACCAAGTTGCTGCAAGCCTTTTCATCACACAACAGATTCTCATATCCACCAGCCTTATGTACCAGTGAGCTGAAATTTTTATTGATTTTGATTCCGGCTTGATCATTCAGATTAATTTTATGTCTAACATGTGCACTAATTCTTCGGTTGCATCGAAAGAAATGACTTTTACTAGGGCTAAGGCCATGATTATGCTCCAGAACAACCACAGAAATTTCCCATCTTCCGTCCAGATTTAACCTAGCTGTTACCTTTGCCTTACACCCAACTCTGTAGCTTGCTTGTGGTTTTAAGGGATTTTGACAAGTACAATTATGTTTGCCAGCTCGACCACATGCTAAAGTCATACTTCTAACAATGCCCATTTCATTCTTCCTTCTTGTATGTTTCTTAATTGGAAATCCACTGCTCTTTGCATAGTCTTTGTAAAACTCAAACAATTCATCTGGATCATTAAACTCCATCCCAATTTTAGGCTCATTTTGCTCAATCCGCTGATCAGTGTGCTGAGGCAACTCAGATCTCTCATCAACCGAGCAATTATTCAAGCCATCATCATCTACATCATCAAACTCCTCAATATCTGTCATGCCTGTTCAAATTGATCATCAATAAACTTTACAGAAAAATAGTTGACAGAAACTGAATAAAGAAACTGAGCTGACCAAAGAAACTGAGCAAAGAATTGACTGAAACTGACAAGCTGCATCATGAAAAAGACAGATTTTATTCCTTGACATACCAAAACATAATTAGTGGGGGGGGCTACGAATTATTCTGTATTGCAGTTGTTTCCTTTTCTTTTAGTTACTTCATCTTTAGAGTAAACAAAAAATTTGTGACCAACTAAATAATTACTACATCATGATTTCCTGGTATGAAGCTCATAAATAAAAACAAAATGATTTCCTGGTATGAAGCTCATAAATAAAAACAAAATCCCCACCTTGAAATTAAACACATCAGTCTCTCAAGACCCACGAAATTTTAACTAACCAGTAAAGGAACTAGATGGAAAGACCAATTAACCAGTAAAATCCACAGAGTTTTAATGACCCACGAAAAATTTGTGGAAAGACCCACGAATTTTTATGTTGTTAACGAGTTTTAATGAACACAACACAGAGTAACTCAACTAGATAACCATTTTAATTAACCAGTAAAATCCACAAGTCCCACGAAATCGAATTAAACACATCACTCTCTCAAGCCAAAATAGTTTGTAAGTAGATTTCAATTAAACAAGATGCAAACAGAAATCATATCAAATCAGATGGAAAGAAGTGAAATTTGCACGAAATCGAGGGTTTTTGATGGATTAAAAAAGAGGAAAGGTACCTGTTTTGAAGTGGGGGGATGAGAGAGATCGCTCCGATTTTAGGGCTTCTATGGAGAGCTGAGGGGGCGGCGGCGGTGTCACGGCGGAGTCAGGGGGCGGCGGCGGTGTCACGGAGTCAGGGAGTGGTTTCTTTTGGGGAGTATGCTGAAGTGAGGAGCAGAGATGTGACGAGTTTGGGAGATTGCTGAATGGTCACGGGAAGAAATTGGGGGTTGCTGACGTGGCTAGGCTCGCACGTAGGAGCAGCCAATTATTAGCGTTTCTGATATTTTTTTTTCACCCTGTTGGGCCACCAAACGTAAAAGCCCAAACCCTCGCTCCTCCTCCAATCACTCTCGCGATCATGTCCTCTTCCTCCCGCTTCCTCGCTCGTTTCTTCTCTTCATCATCAACCTCAACCCAAACCCTAACCCTAACTCCTCCTCCTCAATTCAACCTCAGCACCATCACCGACCTCGCCAACCTCCGCCAATGGCCGAAACTCCGCTCTCACCTCCACTCTCTCCTCTCCAACCCCCAAACCCTACCCCTCTCAGTCCCCTCCTTCTTCCACTCTCTCTCCTCCTCCTTCCTCCCTCGCTCCTCTCAATCTATCGTCGCCGACATCCTCATCCTCTCCCTCCTCTCCGCCTCCGACACCGCCGCCGCCGTCGACGCCTTCTTTCGCTCCGGCCATTACAGGTACAAGCTCTCAACTTTCTCTCTAAACCCTTTACTAAGTTCCCTCATCAAAACCCATCACCTCAACCTCGCCCAGTCCGTATTCAATCAAATGCTCACCTCCAGAAAAATCGCTCCCAATTCCATAACTTTCAACACCATGATCAATGGACTCTGCAAGAGTGGAAAGCTTACTAAAGCTGAGGACTTGGTTAAGGATATGAGGGCTTGGGGGGTTTCGCCAAATGTTGTTACTTATAATACATTGATTGATGGGTATTGTAAGAGAGGGAAGATGTATAGGGCTGATGGGTTAGTTAAGGAGATGGTGGGGTTTGGGATTTTGCCTAATTCGGTTACTTTTAATGTTTTGATTGATGGGTATTGTAAAGATGGGAATTTGAAGGGTGGGTTGAAGTTTTTTGAGGAGATGAAGAGGCAAGGGGTTGAACCGAGTGTGGTCACGTATAATTGCTTGGTTAGCGGGTTTTGTGGTGAGGGTAGGGTTGAAGAGGCTGTGGAGATGGTTAGAGAGATGGAGAGGTCAAATTTGGTGCCTAATGTCGTGAGCTTTAATGGGATTGTGAATGGGTTTTGCAAGAAAGGGATGATGGTTGAAGCCATTAGGGTTTTGGATGAGATGTTGGAGAAAGGTTTGGTTCCTAATGTGGTTACGTATAATACGTTAGTTGATGGGCATTGTAGGATGGGGAAGATGGAAGATGCAATTAGTTTGAAGGGATTGATGATGGAGAGAGGAATTAGTCCTAACATTTCGACTTACAATTGTTTGATACTAGGGTTTTGTGCTAAAGTTGATATGAAGGGGGCGACAGAGATTTTGGATGAGATGGGAGAGAGGGGTATTAAAGCGGACATTGTGACATATAACACATTGATTGGAGCATTGTGCAAAGAAGGAGAAATGGGGAAAGCAGTCAAGTTATTAGATGAAATGTGCGATTTGAGTGTGGAGCCTAGTCATGTTACTTACAATACTCTTATGGATGGGTTTTGCAAGAAAGGGAATCTTAGGGCTGCTTTGAACATGAGGGTGAGGATGGAGAGAGGCAGGAAGCGTGCGAATGTGGTCACTTATAATGTGCTTATCAAGTGTTTGTGTGAGAAGAGGAAGATGGATGAGGCCAATGGGCTACTAAACGAAATGTTGGAGAAAGGATTGGTTCCGAATAATGTTACTTATGATATAATTAAGGACGGGATGGTGGAGAAAGGATTTGTTCCTGATATAGATGGGCATCTTTCTAATAGTGCATCTTAGCAATGTATATGATGAAAAGATTGATGGTGTTCCCGTAAATGGAGTTATTTTGACTGAGGTGTTACTAAAATTGGGTTGATGGTAACTTCTATAAGAACTTTTGACAGTGTTTGCTAGCAGAAAGTGGATGCCAAACTGTTAGTTTCAATGGTAAATTGGACACATGGCATCAATAAGATGAAAGAAGCAAAACAAACTTCTGGAAAATGTAAGATGCATGAAGCAAATGAGTCAGCAACTGAGAAGTTGAACGTCGCAAAAGTTCATTTCAATAAAGAAGTTTTTCCTTAGGAGGAGCAAGTAATATTTGGTTTCAATGTGACCAGTTGAAATTAGAGCTTGCAGTGACAGAGAGCAGCATTCGCCACAGGCCAAACAAACAAAGAAATATAGAAGTTTTCAGCAGCAAACCTCAAATGTGAGGAAGTACACTTTGGATGCGAGAGTATTTGTAAATAAAATAAAAAAATCAAATATCGGGATGCTAGGAATGTTGATGTAAGCACTCATGTTTCAGAAAGTGAATTCCATCTTGAAGGGTGTTCTTTTTATATAATTTTGCTTTTGCTTCTGCAGGAAGTAATCTCGTTTTAAATACAATGATGGTTGAGACTTGCAGAATGCAACAAAAGTGTGTCATACCATTGGGGAATGCCTCCAATTTACAGGTTCCATATATTTCACTCTTATGTCGAATATTCAAGTTTAGACTTGCCCTATTTTTACTGCATGCATTATCTACTTGTTTAACTAGACCCCACAGGTTGCTAATTGATTTTTTATTGAAATGCAAATATGCAATCACATTTAGCCAACATTTCAATTGGATAATTTATTTAAAAGTGGAAACTAAATACTTTGACCTGTTCTCAGAAAGCTAAACTCTCACCTTACCATGGCTTAATAGATATATGATTGTATATGCTTTAGAGAAAAAAAGATCGTTACCAAGACAACGACCATGTTACAATAATGTGATATGCCGATCTAACCTATATGTTTTACTTTCCAACAAGATATTTGTCATTTCAGTCTCACAAAATGTAATAGCAATGACCCATTGAGAGTTTATCATGCAGATGCAATCTCTAGTTTTCTCACTAGAATCATGTTTACCTGATCTTCATTTTGCTTTATGATACAAGGTCTCAACAAAAGTATTGCTAATTGAGTTCGAGATATACATGTGTAAATCTATTTTAACCTTAGAACGATAATAGAAAAAGTGATGAAATTAAATATAAAGTTTTGGATCAAGATTGGTGCACCTATGGAAGGCCCATGTTCTCGGCCAAATTGCCCGCCGCCCCCCGCCCCCCGCCCCCCCCCGCCCCCCCCGTTTTCCCGACCAAAATTGCCCCCCCCGCCCGCCCCGCCTCTTCTGATATTAGAGCATTGTGCCTCAAATTGATCAGTGATGACTGGTAACAGTAAGGAGGAAAGTTTTAAATCTTAGATACGACATTGTTTGACAGTTTGAAATGATGGAGAGATGCTCAGTCTGCATTGGCGTAAATACTTCATCAAAGACATGCTTTGATTCCTTGTAGGAGACGAGTAAACTTCCTGACTTCAACGTTGAAAAAGGTCGGTGTCTTAGATGAAATGTCTGGTGATTGTTTGTGATGGCTAGTAATGATGGGTAAGTGTTCAGTTTCCATGAATGTATATACTTGAGACTTCATCAGGCCATCATATGCTTTTGAAATATTTGTTTGATTCTTTTGAAGAGATGGGTGTTGCTTAGTTGCATTCTGCTTCTAAATGTGAGATTGATCTGTATCAAAGTTGTGCGTTGGGGCTGGATTTTTTTGTTGCATATTTGTTTAAAAAACTATTCTGGATTTCCTTTCCCATAAATATATAAGACTCTTCTTTGAAGTGATTTGTTTCCACGCAATTGTTGTGCCTTCTTAAATTCTCCATTTACAGGATGATCACATTCTCGTGTTCTTTGCATTGGACATAGCTAAGAATTCATAATGTCATAAACTCAAGGGTATGCAGGAATAATGAAGAGAATCATCACGCTCTTTGCTCGGACCTGAAAAATTAGGTTCTCAGGTATAAAAGAAGTTTGATATCAACTGCTCTCTCATGCTCAAAAAGAGACAAATTGAAATGCGCAGCACATTAGCTTATTTAAACGTGTGCTTGCTGCAATTTTTTTTCTATTCCAGCTTTGCTGTTAAGGAGTTTATCTGTAATCTGGAGGCCTGCACTTTTATATGCCACAAGCTGTCCATTTATTTGATGAAGGGTGTGAAAGCTGAAGTCAATTTGGGTAGACGAGCATTGGCTTAATGGTCAGAGGAAGTAGATCCGGGATCAGATATAATGTCCTGGACATGTTTTCTTCGAGTTTTGCCCGAAAATTGGCGCTTCTCAATTATATAATTTTTTTTTAAAATCTTGAGCTTAGAGAGTTTAGTTGTTGGACATGACTTTGTTTATGCACGGCAATGGCCTATTCTCTGTTTAGCTTGTTCCAACCCATCAGCTGCCGGGAAATTCCATAAGCATGGGCGCGCCCCTGCTACTTGTCTTGATGATTCTGTAGCAATTAGTTGTATACTTGTATGTATACGTGTTATATACTTTTAATGACGTCAGAGGCGAATTTGTTCCTCCTATTTATTCCATCCCGGGCCAGAACAGAGTACTACCTAGGGAGTAGCCAACACGGTCAGTGGTATTAATGTTTTATTCGGAAGATGATAAACAATTGAAAAACAACTAAACAATTCATCTTGGAAAAAAGCTAGAAGCATACGATTGAATGTA